AATTTCTACATGAATTCGAGCGGATAAATCAAAAAAGAGACATGGACAAGAAAAGAAAATCATCTGTCCAGATTCTCACATTGAAGCAGAGTCGTTGAAGCAGGAGGGGAGAAAAACGAATGGGAGCAGCCACTGGTATGTAGTTATCCCAGAAAGAACCTATTGAATCAAACCTTCAAGAAGACAAAAGGCCTAGAGACGAGGGCCGCATTTTTTATTCTCTGTAGGATCGAGAAAGTGTGCATGCGATGGTAAGACCACCGTAGAGAATTATGAGTACATCAAAAAATGATCGGAATGTTTGCCTTCACCGTAGAGGATATCCATTAATTCGATTAGACGGGATAGTCCTGATCAGTATGAGAATCGATCTTACGCATTGAATTAGTCCAATAAACGTCTCTATTAACTGCGCTAAGACACGTAGGCGGCAAGAACAGCCGCTCGTTATTCGAGAGACGTTATGAAAAGCATAAATATAGAGCTTATCACTCATTATTTCTAACTGGGAAGAGCCATGCATCCAAAACCTACTCAAAACCTATATAACCTTACCGAAATAGGTGTTTAACCCGTAGGCTCACTCAGGAAGCGTAGCCGTCAAGAAAGTAAATGGCTGCCTAATGAGCAATATGGCTTGATGGTATCAAGGTGAACCTGGAAGGCATGGAAACTTGCTGATAGTGAGAAAATTAGCTGTGGTAGTGAATTTGATCCTAGAACCATGTTTGTGAGGGGGCCAGGTGGAGATGGTGGAGTGGGAAGTGGCGGACTATCACATGCTAATGATTCGAGTTCGAATCCCGGATCGATAATCGGACCAACTAAATCTTTCACCATTTTTTTCCCATTACAAAAAAATCTTACTCCAAATAAAGTCAAAAAGAATTTCAAAAATAAAAAATATCAAATGAAATCCATCGGGACTAGAACGAACATGAGATGGCCCAACTGCTGGATGATCACCAAATCCTTTACAAAGGAGTTTTTTTTTTGAGATTTCAGGAAATAGGATTAATTGGTCTACATGCTCACCCGAGGTACCAATAGGGAAATCCACATTAGAAATTCGATTACTAAATAAATGGTCATTTACCACATTCTTTTTTCTTGATTTTGCATCATGAATTACTATTGTTTGTGGCACATCTTCGGATGTAGTAAACAAAGAAATCAGTAAACAAGCGACACAGGTGGTAGAGGAAAGCAAAGAAAAATCGTAGAAGGAGCAATTTAGCAGCCATCCCGAGATGGAAAATCCCATTGCGACGAGCTAAGAAGCCTGTTCTTCGTTGAGGAAGCCACAAAGCAATTGATCTGCATGCTGCGGTGAGAGATCTGTTGAAACAATCAGACACGCAAGCGATTGTTCGAGTGGAACGCGGATTTCTATCAGATACACTGGAGCGCTGGTCGGCACGAAGAAGAAGAAGAAGAAGGCTGCAGAGTTGACGACGATGACGGCCAGCGAGAATCCAAACGAGTTTCTCGACATCTTGACGCTTTCCGTAAAAGCCCTTCAATGGCTACACTAAGATGAGTTCGGATCTGGTTCTTCCTCAAGTGACTCCGTAAT